GTGCTACCGGTCCCCCCAATTTCCTGACGTCGGAGGGAGTGGTGGTTTAAGAGGACTGACGAGAAAGTGGGGGGTTGGGATTTTGTCGGCTGTCGTTTGAAGGTTAACCAGCATTTTTCGTACCTATGCAGCGTTCATAGAACAAAAAACGAGGAGTCGATTTAGGGATCAGGCCCCTTAGTACAGAAAAATGGACAGGATTTTCGGTCCAGTCGAAAACAGAAAATGGCCGCAATCACTGGTTTGCTGTGCAGAATTGACCGTAACACAACGGATCGGGCCGAAATCCCCAAGCAGGTCTTGACACTGCAAAGGGAATATCGGGCCAAAGGATTCTCTGACAGCTTTTTGGTAACGTCCTTAGGAACTTTTCTCGGACTCGGGATAAGGTGTGGCGCTATACGGCGAAACTAGTAACAGTCTGGTAGGAGAATAGTACTATATATAGTATTTGTTTGCCTTTGATCGTCCTCTCATTCATGCATGAATCTAGGGGTTGCCCCGATACGAGGTGACGGGAAGGATGGTGTACAGTGTAGGGAGTAGAAGGTGGGAGAGTTTAGCGGATTCTCGAGACCATTTCGCGGTGCTCTTGGTTTGAGCTTTCTCTTTTAAGCTATGGTTGACTTGGACATTGGCTTCAGTCGTGGCATTGCGCCGGCTTTGGTCGTCTTTTCGATTTTGCGTCATCGTGTCGGCTTTGTCGTCGTGTCAATTCGACTGTTGGTCACGTCGGCTCTGGCGTCGAGTCGATTTCGACTTGTGTGTTCTTACTCACCCCTTGCGAAGCAGTTGGTAACCAACTGGGGATAGATACCCTGTTTTGGTGGTCAAGTCCTATACGTAGCACGTGAGAATAATTACGTGGCTAAACGTGCGACTAGGGGTCTCGGACCCCCATTGATAGATTGTTGGACACCATGGCATCATCGAGTCAACCAAGCGGTAGTGGAGATGGCGAAGGGCCAAGAAGAGGTACACAGGTCTATTACAGCTGTAAGTTGTCGGGTCATTATGCAAGGGACTGCGGGGCCTACTAGAAGGAAGAGTATGAGGGAAGAACGAGCGATAGTGGAGGGTCGGGAGTTTCTTGCAATGGGTGTAAAAGATCGGCATCCCCTGTGAGGAGGCGATGGGAACACTCGAAGCGCTCGCCATCAGCAGATTCGGAGTACCATGGTCTCCGAAGTGAAGAACGGGATAAGGTGAAGGATTTACTAGTTCTCGCAACGGGCGTGGAAGATCGGCATCCCCGGTGAGGAGGCGATGGGAACCCTCGAAGCGCTCGCCATCAGCAGATTCGAAGTACCATGGTCGCCAAAGTGAAGAACGAGATAACGTGAAGGATTTGGCTTGCCTGTTGATGGCGGAACGTGAGGAAAAATAGTGAGTGAAGGAGGAGGAGGAGGAATGAGTCAAGAAGGAGAAAGAGAAACTAGAGAAGGAAGAGAAGAAACGAAAGAAGGAGCGACGAAGACGGGAACAACAAAAAAATTACGAAAGATTGGCGAAGATTGTGGACTTCTAGTTTTCTACGAGGTGGGGAGGACCAATGGAACGTATCCGCGAGGACAACTCTCCAGAGTATAGGCGCCGATGCAAGCGTTATCAAAAGGCGTCTCGAAGAGGCAAGCAACACAAAAGTACTGTGAATATTTTGTCTGACTCTGGGGACAAAGTTTCGGAGGTTGGTGCACGTACACGAGGGCTTAGCCTAACGGACATACACAAGCGTACGTCCACGATGACTAAGGAGGAAGGGTCTCTCACAGTCCAATCCGAACGTTATGCCTCTGAAGATGCATCGAACTTGGGAAACATCGATCAAACTTTCCCTCGTGAAGTCAGCAAAGAAGATGAAGACTACGCTAAAGCCTGTCACCATGAAGAAACTGCGGGAAAGGGGTGATCCTACTGCAAAGGGAGCAGCGGCAGGATGTGGGGCGGGATCAAGATTACAGTTCGTACAAGATACCGTCGATCGGGGCTTCCGGTTTTCGCGATTGCGAAGGGTTGGGTGAGGTGTAGGGCCGCATTGATTTCTTCGCCGACTGGGACTTGGAAGAGGAGCAGCCGGAGGTGGAGGAAGTGGTAACATTCCTGGCAATTGGCACTTTCCCGGTTTTGCTTTCGTACCTCGACGCCTAAGCACTCCGAGGCCGGGCAATATGCATACCGCCTCTACCTGCCCTGCAGAACCGACTCCACCCCGCCTGCCCCCCTCCGTACCATTGCGAAACGCCGCGTTCATACTCCTCCTCTTCCTCGCCCTGCTCCCCAATCTCGCCATAGCTTGTGCGTTGCTTGTTGCTTTGCAACCCTTTTTCTCGCCAGCTGCTGCTGCCTTTTCTTTGTGTTGGGCGCCGAGGGGTGGCTTAGTGGTTGGTCGGGCAGCAAGCGCTGCAAGGAGCAGAACGATGCAGCATTGAACAACGACGGAGGCTTCGATATGCGCCTTTCCGACCTTCCTTTCGTTTCTCTCCTTCCTGTCCTTCCTCTACTTCATCTACTCCCTCCCCCACCCCCCTCCGCATGACCCCTCCCTCCCCCTCTCCCTCGCCCCATCCCTCATCCCTCTACCCCGTAACCCTCCATCATCCCTGTCTCTTATACACATCTAGATGTGTATAAGAGACAGGCGCTGCAAGGAGCAGAACGATGGAGCATAGAACAGCGGTGGAGGCTTCAACATGCGCCTTTCTGGCCTTCCTTTCGTTTCCCTCATCCCTCTACCCCGTAACCCTCCATCATCCCTGTCTCACTACACCCGCCTCCATAACCCGACCACTCCCCCCCCCCCCCCCCCCGCCTTCCAGAGATCGTGGAAGATGTTCCCCCCCTCCCCCCCTTTGATGACGCCCCACGTGGCATGGGGCAGAAAAGCGCTTTAGGGAATTGCCACACCCTTCCCGCAATTCGGCGAGATGATCCACGCGGATGCAGGAACGCGCTGGATTTGGAGGATAGAGCTGAAGCGGGATATAACCTTTTTGCCCCCCTTCCCCCTTTCCCCATTCGCCGTCCTTCTTTTTTTTCCCCCCCTTTTTTTCCCATGTGGAACCACATGAACAATTGGCAGCAGAGGAACAAGGTGGGCGATGTATTTCGTTCTTTTTACAGAAGAGACTATTCGGTGTGATTTCTGGTCACCTTTGGATGTATGGACTAGCCCTCCCTTCTCTTGTATGCTGTCTCGATGGGTGCAATGGAAAAATCGCTTGCCTCTTTTTCCCTCCTCTCCTTCTCTCCTTCCTCCCTCCCTTTCTTTCGTACCTTTACCACTTTCTCTCCCTCTTTCTCGTTCGCTCCCCTCCTCCCGCTCTCTTCCTCCCTCTCCCGTCTTCTCTTTAATTCAATTATTTTCCGGTTGTGGCCAGTCGAGAGACTTTTTTCACCATATCAGGATACCTCTTCCGGTGATGACTCATCCTTTACTGCAATCTCACCAGGTTAATGAATGTGTATGATCGTGTCTGAGCAATTGCATGCAATAAATTATTTTTTAATGCTTGTCGTGCTCTTCGGTAATTTCTATACTGGCAGATCATTTTGTGTGTCTTGCTTTTATGATTTTTTCTATGGTAATATGTTGTTGATACCCCCTCGAGGAACGAGGCACCCCTACCCCCCCTTCACTTCGATTCGCCACCAACGCATAATTGGCCAACTTCGACCGTAAAACGGCCTCATGTTTTTACCCTCACCACAAATGGACACACGAGTGGTTTTACCCCGCCGCGTTGAAAGATCGCCTCCCTCGTCTTGCTTTTTTGCTCACAGTGTGTCGACGCTTTTTGGTCGGAGTAGCACGATTATGACGTATCGTGCTCGTGCGAAACTCATGTGACACACACATGCTACACACTCAGGAGGACGTGTTTCCTCGATCGCTGTCAGGGGGTGCCCCTCCTGACCGCACTGTGAAGCGTCTATTTGGCGTTCCTTATACGCCCCCGTGTGGAAATGGGGTGATGAAAGTGGCTATGGGGTACGCCGAGGTCGTCTGAGCGCTGGTGAGGGGACGGAAAGTGGCTATGGGGTACGCTGAGGTCGTCTAAGCGCTGGTGAGGGGACGGCTGGATAGTGTCGAAAAGAAGGTTGTGAATTGTGGGATCCGTGGTGAGAAGGAGTGTGATCGTGGGGACAGCCGGTGGGGACCTGCTTTGACGAATCCTTGTTGTCTTCGCTTGTGGTTCTGTTTTCACCCCCTCCGCCGGCAAACCCCCCTCTTTCCCCCTTCCCCCCCTTCCTGATCCCTACACTTTTTTTTTCTCCCCCCCCCCCTCTGTCGGGATTGTCCCGTTGTCGGGCGGATGAAGGTCAGTCGGCCACCCAAATTTTTACGAATTGACCCTTGGATTAACTGCCTAGAAAGGGATTGACTGAGGTTTTCATCCGGGCCAACGGGAAAAAATAGGGGTCAGAAAGAGACCGTATATTCTCCTGCCACGGATTCTTAACAGGTGGCTATTTCTTTACTTTTTTTGGAAGGACCTCAGAACTTGTAGCACACGGTGCAATGGGGCTCCTTGCTGTGTGTGCCCATCAGTAGGAATTCTTTCCACGACCTTGGCAATGGTATGCATGAATACAGTTTAGCCTAGACACAGTTTGAGCATCCACCACTGGAGTAGTAAAAGGCGCGGGTTTGGAGTGACGAATGGTGCGCGCGGGCTACGGGTTGAACCCGTGCCAATTTTGGCCGTCAGAGGCCAACCGATAGGCGAAGATGCGGCCTTGGTGTGTTTTTGGTAGGCCCACGTGCCGGGCGACACCCATTTATATGTGAGTACGTGGCTGCTAATAACGGCCTTGGGCCTATCACTATCGGCTACGTATCAGACTTTCACCAGGCGGATTCAGGGATCAAGACCGGCAACTGGCGGTGAAGGAGCGAAGGTGCAGTGTGGAGGAAACCGAGGGGTTGAAGGATTACACAAGACTATCCCCCTTGGTTTTGTCGCCGGCCCTGGATCCGGGACCGACTGGCACCCGCAAACCTGCACCCGCAAACAGTACACCACCAGTGCTTTTGACCTGGAAATGCGCTGCACCACACCACATCATGCACCGCAAGTATGCTACATTCTGGCAATTGCATAATGTCGCATATTGATGCGACTTAAATGTAGCTTCCCTGGAAATCAGGACAGCAGATCCACTTTTTTTCTATCCAGGGAGAGCTCGTGGTCGACAATGCCATGCAAAACGTGCCGCTCTTAAACACATGTCATACCTTAGCACAGAGTTGGTCCACCCTAATGCCAGTACCATATCCAATGGCCTTTCTCAAGGAATTTTAGCATGGCCATATGAACAAGGCACGTTTCTTGTTCTTTTGTTATGTACCCGATTGAACTTCCATCCACAACGAATTCACACGTTCCCATACACGCATGCAATTACAGAGTAGACTCGGAGGAGGCAAATCCACACAAAACCGGAGAGAGGATATGCACAGCAGAAGCTCGAAATACACAGAGAATTGAAAAACGAATTTCAATTCTGTAATCCCCCATCCTCCTCCAATCAATCCAAAGTACTTGTTCCAAGAATCACAACCGCGTTTACAACAACCCCGAACAACCAAAAACAATTGTTCAACGAAGTCTGCAGGAGTCTTCTTCTTCCTCCTTGCCACCTCATACCCCTGGCTATGGCTGCCATAGCAGCAGTAACCTCACAGTTGTCACAACGTGCCAATCTGAACCTGCTACCCAATGATAGCAGCGCCCGCACAGAAGTGCAGCGCTGGAAGTCCTGATGAAGAAGGAGAACCGATCCAGCACTTCGAAGAAGAGAAAAACGAAGTTCCTCACGAGGAGGAACAGCAGATATGGCTGCCAAAGTGTAAGAAGGCAGCGCCCAAACCCAACAACACAGTCCTGGTGAAGCTCTTGTGCAGAGCTGCTGAATAGCCGCAGTACGATCTCCAACTTCGTGTCCCAGCCTAAGCTATGGCTGGGCTTCGAGGAAGGAGATGCCCTCGCCAAAAATAATGCAGCAACGCTACGGCAACGAACGGGCAGAGTTTCCCCAGCAGAAACAACGAGAAAAAGACCCGAACTAATTTTCCTGCCCACTACTTCTACCCTCCCCCTAGACCTACGACGGCCTCCCCAAAGCAACAACCCAAGACCTATCTGTATCTGGATGGAAACAGGAGAAAGAGGGGCCTAGACCTATGACAAGGCAAAAGAAAAACGCCGAATGGCCTTGGACTACCAAACAGAGACTACTAGTGACAGACGCAGGGATCAAGCCCCATAGGGCACGACACTCACAAACAAAACACACAGGTTACAGGTCACGGGATCAAGTCCCGCAAGGTTCAAACACACAAACAGCAAACAAACAGGCAATACAGCAAACAAAGGTTGCGGGATCAAGTCCCGACAACGACGACAGGGACAAAATTAGTATACAGCCCACTTGTAGCACCACAATTCATTGCACTTTTACCACCACCATTCTTCTTCTCCCTCCAATCCGCTTTGTCACAACCGTGGGATCTATAAGCAGACAGAAAAAAAAGTGAAAGGCCATCAAAGAAGCGAATAGAGAAGATACACACAAAGAATCGATCCTCACAGCTTGGATTTTGCTGACGGCAGTCTTGACCGCTGCATTAAACCTGCGTGTCCGGATCTCACTCTCCTCCTGCAGGCGCTCCGTTGCCCCCTCAGCCTGTTCCAGTCAGCAAGAAAATGACATCATTGTCAGCAGACAGACCCTGAGAAAAGAAATGACGTTTTGAACTCTGGAAGAATGTGGACTGCAAAGGGAGATAGATATGGGCTGGGGCTGGGGGGAGAAACCAGAAGGGATCAAAGACAATATGGGGCTGGAGTATGGGTCTCTCTCTCTTTCTTTCCCCCTCTTTTTAAAAGGGGATATCCCCTAATACTATTTATAGTTTTATTCATCCGACTCCATGGCGATTTGAACTTGTGACATGTTTACTAACAGTTAAATGTGGGTACCATTCAGCCACACGGCTGGGAATGAGTGCTTGTCATACTTAGGGACAACAGCCCTTACTTCACAGAGCACCACTGATGCCTGATGTACTTAGACAAACGAGGACATGTGCCTCCTAAATGTAGATACAAACACGGTTTTAAAATTCAAAACGTGCCATCAAGGAACCAAGTGGACGACCAGCTGAAAAAAAAAGAAGGTTAAGGGATCTAACCTGCCAAACCCAGAACAGCTGAGGCGTAATGCTGGTACGTTACGGGCTTGTTGCAATTCATGCCCAGCGCCACAGGTCACCAGTCAGGCAAGCCTTCGTTTGTTACATACACCAGTGGACAGGTTGTTAACAGAGGAAAACTGGAAAGTTGGTAATCCATCTCATCTAAAGTATACCACTGCCAGCGGAGTTACCAGATCGAACGTTTGGGGCATTGGGTGCAATAAATTGCAGTTTCCCAGTGGGGCTGTACACTAAGTGTTCGTCTGTGTTGTTTGTTTTTTTGAGCGTTGCGGGACTTGATCCCGTGACCTGTAACCTGTATTTTTTGTTTGTGCGAGGCCACTGCCTCTATGAGCCCCATAAGGCCCCAATTTGCAGCCCGTCGGCCGCCCTAAGTGAAGGCAGGCTCGACGAGGCCCTCAGGGCCCTATTCTGGCCACCACGCAACTCAAGGAAATTCAGGCAGTTGCGCAGCGCCAGTTGGTTGAGTGAACCCAGGCCCTGGGCCGCCTGTGTGAATGTATGTGAAGCAGGCCCTGGGCTGGATACGGGTACTGGGCCAAACACATGCCAAAGGCAGTTGGGAACATGCAACCACCTCAGGCCCAAGGCCTGTTTTCGTCGTGCTGGGCCTCAGGCTACCGGGGCCTACTGGAAGCTTCCTGGGACTGGACGCAGGCAGGCCACTTCGATATAGCAAAGGGCCTGCCTCCGTATTAGGCATTCGGGTGCTGGCTGCATGCTGCCTAACTGCTGCTGCGCTATTTGCTGGCTGGCACCTACGCTCTCACGGGCGAGCAGGGAAGGAGCACGCAGCCATAGTCGAGCTGCGCTGCTGTAAGCTGGGTGAGGCACAGGGTGGTCCTTGAGTGCTAGTGGCATCTGTGTGTTGGGGAACGAGGTTGTGAGTGTGGCGAGAGACATACCTGGTGCTGGAAGCGTGCGACGCTGGTCGCTGTATGCTCGTACTTCGGGAAAGCTGTTGACGTCATCTTTCGGCATCGTAGTGTAGGCTAGATAGGATCTGCCACATGTAGTCTGGGCACCGATCGCCAGATAGGATATCAACTCTGGTTCTTCGTTGATGATGATGGGACTATTTCAGCATTGTCAATTATGAACTCTTGGTGTGTTCTTATTTGGTGAATCTCGTGATGCAATTCTGCTGTTGGTTCGAGGTCACGACTATCTGGACTCATATGTATGATGCTGTTTGATTGCTGAAGTTCGCTATTGCTCATCTTCCTTGCAATTTGGTATCGGAGCTGTGGTATGTTTGCGCTCATCTGGCGCTTGTCTTCTGCCTGGTACAGTACATACATGCGGTCTGCTTGGCGAGTTTGGCCGTAAGTGGTGTGTAGTGAGGAGGGCGGAGGCGAGTGAGTGGCGACCCAGGAGGTGAGGGGATCGCCAGGAAGGCTACGTGGTGGTAATGTGGTCTGGACAGTGTGATGAGAACTATCTAATGTGCGATTGATGCTGAGGTGGAACGGCGAGATAATGCTGGTTGTGCCAATGCAGTGACTGGTCATCGCAATCGCCATCAGGTCATCAGGTGAGATTATCTCTGTGGTTGGGGGCAGCTATTTGAGGTACGTTGCTCTTAACCTTATCTACCCTCTCCGACACTTCTTACCGTGAGGTTGTGTGTTCCTTCTTGAGAGTCCTCTCATTGTGAGGTGTCGAGTGCGCTCAACCTTGAGAATCGGCAATGTTCACGTGGAGCATCAGGGAGAAGATGGGCGGAGCTTTCTGAAGGGCCCTGGACGAAGCACTGGGTCACGGTCACCATGCCAACCCACAGGGAGTAGAGCACGCATGCCTTGCTGCTTGTCCTTGTTCGGCTTGCTGCGCTGTTAGATGGGTACTGTTGGGCAGGCCAGCCCTTAAGGGAGACGAGACTGGGCGTCTTTAAATAAGAACCGGAAGGGGAACCATTGGCTGTGATCGTCGTCCGGCTGCGACGTAAAAGAATTCCTGGAGTCACTTGGGGGCGGACGTTAAATTGCCTCTGGATCAGCCAATGGTTGTAAGGCTCGCTGCACGCGAGGATAATCCAGTGCAGGGCTGGCCAGCTCAGCAGATACTCGGGGCACAGGGGTGGGCCGGACACACACCTTTAGACACGCTACGCTCTCCAGATTGCTCAGGGACGCTGACATCAAGTGATACTCAGGGGAACTAAGGGAGGGTTAAATTCCAGGTGATAAGTTCGAGAAAATTCCATGCTGTCCTATCCACACAAATGATTCTATTTTTATGTTTTTATTAGTTAGGTGTATAGCCATTGACATCTGACAGACAGCATTAGTTAGAACTGTTTCTTGTTCATGATGCTTCTGTTTGCGAACTAGTCAAACTAAAAATAGTTTTATTTGTAGGAATCTGACTTACCTGTTGACCCGAATGTAAAGTCTCCAAAATAGCCACCAGTTGGTCTGTGCACTACGCTGCGGTAGGCACCTAGAGTGTATTAGTGCAGATTGTGTACAGGACTGTAGCTTATGAGCGACGAGGAGGACACTGGAGAGGACGACCGGAGGATATTGCGATTGGCTAGACGCCCAATAGCCCACTTGGCATTAGGACCAGAGGGCGACAGACATCTGTTCCGCCAGCTTAGGGAGAGGCAGCAGCAGCAGAGGAGGACTAGAGCAGCGGAGGCTAGCAGGGCACTTGTGAGTGAAGCTGCAGCTTTGGAAGCCATGGCCACCCCAACTCAGCAGTCCTCTCAGGCAAGTAGTTCAGGGTCTGTCGGGTCAACAGTGGCGTAGACCCAGAGTCAGTCCACTGGCGTAATGGCGAGCCAGCCACTAGTGTTAACTCCCGATGAGATCGCCATACAACAAGCAGCATTGCAGGAGGCACAGCTACAGAAGGCGTTAGGAGATATAAAAGCGGAGAAAGATAGAATGATTAGACGAAGAGCCAGGATGCAACGTAGACAAGCGGACGTTAACGAGTTAGAGGAGATGGACCTGACGCACGTAACGGATGATGTGAGGATCATCCGGTCTGTCCTGCTGAATGTAGTGGAGATGCAGGACCAGCAAACAACCATCCTTCAAGACATCCAGCAAAGTCTGGCCCTGTTGGTTGGGYGAGCGCCAGCAACGTCACCAATGTCTGGGCCTGGTGCCTGGCCCGTTGTACATCCTCCTCCTTATGTCCCACCGGTGACTGGGGTATCCCCATATGTAGCTCCATCATCGGTTGCGATTGTTTCCCTGGGCATGCCGCTATCAAGAGGGGTATCAGTAGGAACTAGTTTGCAGGTTCCTGTACAGACAGTGTACACCCAATCTCCGTTGCAGGTTGCGGTCACCACGCAGCCTGCTGTCTCGCAGCCTGTGCAGCCGCGGGGCACACAGCCCCAGCAGCTAGCACAGCAACCTGTGTCACAGGGTCCACAGCCCGCCGTGATGCAGGGACCGGGACAAACACAGTGGGTTCCAAAGACGGCCATTGCCGCTCCGAAACCCTTTACAGGGGACAAGAGAGGCGAAGACCTCGACACATGGTTGAGGCCAGTGCCAGTCTATGTCAGGTGTAAACTTACCTTGCCGCACAAAGAAGTGCTTGTGGCTGCTTCCTACCTAGACGGTAGTGCAACAAGATGGTTGAGTGGTTTAGCGCAGCTCCAGGGGTATGGTCATGACTTCCGCGCTTGGGCGGTCACCCAGAAATTGGAGGACTTCCTGAAGATGGTGGAGGAAAGGTGGCACGATCCTCAGGAGTCCCAAAGGGACACTGATGCGATCCTGACACTGCACACGCGGCAGTTTAAGTCAGTAAGGGAAGCCATCGACGCTGTTGAGCGTCTGATCTGTGTCCCAGGGGTGCGCTATGACCCCAAGGTTCTGCTTACCTCGTACCAGAGATTCTTTTCTTAGCCTCTCAGGAACCAGTTGGCAAGTCGGGCCAACATCAATATGCACAACTTTCCTTCGTTTAGCAAGATGGCCCTAGACCTTGAGGCGAAGATAGGGCATGGACAGACACCCACTACGGATGGAAGGAGAAAGACATTGCCTCCTAACTGGAAGGCGAAGGGGCGCATTATGTTTGTCGATAACGATGGTTCAAACATCGAATTAGACGAACACTTTCAGGAAGGAGTAGGTTCAGAGGCTGGCAGCGTAGAAGCTTCACAGGGTGGAGTAGTCGCTGCTGTAACTCAGAAAGGTAAGGCAACCGATAGACGCCGCGAAGGTTCCCGGTCTAGGAGTCAAGTTGACCCCAATGCTCCTCCATGGGAGAAAGCGGGTCTCACATAGGACGTGTGGAGAGATCGTTATTCACGGCAGGCCTGTATTCGTTGTAGCCAATATGGCCATAACCAGTTCAAGTGCCGCAATAAGAAGGTAACCGAAAAGATCCCGCCTATGATGGGGCAGGCACCCCGTTGGTAGCAACGTGGCTAGTTCTTCTGGCAGTGCTCCGGGATACACGTCGGGCCAGTAGGAATAGTAGTTGTTCCTGCTACGGT